AGAGAGAGAGAGAGAGAGAGAGAGAGAGAGAGAGAGAGAGAGAGAGAGAGAGAGAGAGAGAGAGAGAGAGAGAGCGAGAGCAAAAGCATGCATGTGCTCAAATGAGAGACCGAGAGTATGCGCATTCATGCGTGCGTGCACGTGTGTGCGTGCGTGAGAGAGGGGCGCCGGTAAATAATAATTATGTGGAGGAGTGTACGTGATTAGTATACATGGAACTGGATTTCTGGAACGGAAACTTTCTGCTCGTCGAGCTTTAACGTTCCGTACAGTTTTACTCTCAATTTCTAATCTTCAGTCACTTAAAGATATCGAGAGTAAAATGCATCATTAACAAATCGCGGGCCTTTTCACTTAAAATAAATGTATGATTGTAGGAAGAAAAGGATGATACTGACAATGAAATGAAAGCAAAAGATAATACTCAGATAGACAATGAGTTGAATTCTGACGGTAGAGGATCCACACACAATGAACCAGGCAGGGAAGACAACAGCATTGAGGCAAATGCAAATGTGAGCTAACGCATCTTATTTCCTCTGAATATATTTAAAGAAATGCTCAAGCTGCCATTGATCAAGAAAGAGGCTTGACGTTATGCTATAATACTAAGATCAACGAATTCACACGACATGATATTGCAAATGTTGCACAAAATATTTCCTTAGCTAAACATACAATCTTGTCTGTATTTTCCATGTAGGTTAATCCGCCGCACATGCAGCACGTTGGGGATCTGCTGCGCAAGCTTCAGCTAGAAATTCCGGACATCAACAATTTAATTGACTTCTCAAACGGTCAAGTAGATGACCTGGCCTTCGACTGGAAGACAATGAACTGGACGGACTGTTCTCAAACGTGCGGTGGTCATGGCGTGCAGGCACGAACGGCTGTATGTGAGGTGAGCTCCACTCAACTGTATCAAAGGAGGGCGGAGGGTCGTTACGATTGGGACGAATGCAACAAGCATACCATTCCATACTCCGTGTAGAATTTCACTGCATTATCTAACCATCTGTGGAGGAAATACGTTTGATATGTACAGTCACTACACGCCTCGCATGTCCTAGCCGCTCGTATAGACGTGTGCAGTCCATGTATACGCACACGACGACGTTCTATTTTTGTGATGCGTCTAGGTATCGATACACGGGAAACGCAAGAAGGTGGATTCAACGTTGTGTACGGAGGCGGGCCTTCCCAAACCACCCGTGATGCGCAAGTGTGGGATCGGTCAGTGCCCAGGATGGATCGTTGGGAATTGGTCCAACGTAAGTGCAGATGTACGCCTCCCCCCCTCCGCCACCACACCGCTTGATCGTTGCTCCCGCAAATCTTAATGAATCAATCCTCAATTCGAATTAATCGGACGGTAGGTCAGATATTTAAGCATTTAATTATAGCGAGATCGGTGTGCAAGGTCGCGGGAGTTGCCGGTGTGTGGGAAGAAGTTTGGTAGGATCATGGCGAGTCTATGTTTCTTACGTCATCAATCCAGCAGCCTATTGCCATAGACCATTAGTGTAGAGACACAATTACTTATAGACACGTTACTAATGGTTTCAAACGCTGGAATGGTTTCACAAGTTTGAGTGGGGAAGAAATTAAGCTGCAACCACTATAGAAACCGCATGACTTTAATACGCAATGAACTGCCTGCCAAACATGCATGAGTCAGTCTCAGAAGTAGTGTGCATGTATGGCTGTCAAGCTCTTGCAGGGATTAACAGTCATGCCGTCTTCAACGTTCTACGTTTTTCGTTCGTGTCTGCCGGTAGATACTTTACATAGGTGGTGAGAAACGCGTGTACAAACAGACAACTCTTGGCTTATATATATATATATATATATATATATAGTGGGGATCTATATGTTTCATTTTTCTTCCATCTGCTGGAGTTTTATTTTTTGCCATGTGTATCTCTGGGGTTATCTGTCGCGCTTGAGCATGTTTCTCTAAATTCCCGCATATATAGACGACGTTCAGCACTTAATGTTCAGAAGAAAATCTAGATATCAAGTTCCTGTTGCATAATTCAAGTGTGAGAGTTTCGTAATGGCTGATAATCGATTTGGCTGCTTGGAGTATATCAAATTATGCGTTCCTCATGGAATATACCGATATACCGTATTATAGCCAAATACGGTCTATGCCAAATCTGTGAGGTGTAAAAAAGTAATATCTTGGCAGCTAACGCGCCGTCCCCCACTAACTGTGCATTAAAAAGTAGCTAGGCTACAAGATTCCCTAATATCAAATATAACAAATATAACGCGTATTGTTGACGCATGCCGAATTGCGGTAGTAGGTACTGACCGAAATACTGTAAAATCCTTTTTTTCGTGAGGTTCTAATTTTCGTGGATTTCGTGGGTCCATCAATCCACGAATTTATGTACCCAACGAAATATTATGTACATATGTCAATTGCCAGTTCCGGAGTGGAGGCCCGCAAACCGACGCCTGCCGTCTGTGCGTAACTAGTAATATATACTATCAACAACCTCGACATGCTCGTAGTTAGTAATCTGTTTGTTGGCATTATTGGTTTTGGAGAAAAAAAATTATTGGAAGGCTTGATCCACGAATTTAAGAACCCGCGAACATGTATTTTTTTATTGAAACCACGAAAATTGGAACCCACGAAAATAAGTGACTTTACAGTATCAACCACAACCAGAACGTCCCGTTTCCTTTGAGTCATTAGATTATTCCGAATTATTAAACATGATACTAACGCTATCCAGTTTAATTCAAAATCATAGTGTCCACTGATGAATATTGTGCCAGATGAGACGTTATGCCGTTTATATGAGCAAATACGTCTCAACACATTTGTGGACGACCCATGAGCGCAAGCAATCCATATAAATCATCCACTGCTAATGGTTCACTAATAAAAATAAGGATCATCTAGCCAACGGCTATGGTCACACGACACTCACGTGCGTGCGTGTTACGGTACAATGTTTATCCGGCATTTCATGGTTTACATGGAGTGAACATGTTGCGTTTTCCTGCTTGCCCGTATAGTGCATGGCCTCTGAGTGCCACGGACTAAACATGGCGCTAAGGCGCCGCGACCTCTACTGTCAGCTTCCCAACAGCACTAACTTGCCCCCCGACAACTGCAACACCCTCACCAAGCCTAGAGACACGGAGGACTGTCACAACAAGAAGTGTGAGGCAGTGTGGAAGGTTGGAGAATGGACCGAGGTATCTGTTACACCTCAGCCACTTTAAACATCGCATTGTGCATCTATGTGGCTTGTTGCATACTGAGTCGGCATCGCGCCATGCACTGCCTACACATACTTCATCTGCATGATCCGCTGTCGATGTTGTCCCCCTGTTTAGTGCTAGCATGCTGTAGTTTATATCCCGACATTGCTATGCATAGCATGCTAACAGTTCGCCGAATAGTTAGAGCAATTACGAAAGATCACTAAGAATTTTACAAGACTGTTAGTAGCATGCATTGTTTTTTCATAGCAGCTTGTAAATGGAAATGCTCTTTCTTGTTTTCCCCCACGTATACACATCATCAGAAAATTAATGCATGTAAGCCAAATGAGTGTGTTTGTTGTTATTGTGTTGAGCTGCAGTTGTATGCCATACATAGAAAATATGTTGGGTCACAATAGCATTATCAGATTTACGCACTTTATTTAGGGCTAAACCCCAAATTACATCATTACACTGCATTTCTCTCACAATTATGTGCTAGATACATGAGGTGCGTGCGTGCGTGCGTGCGTGCGTGCATGCGCGTGTATGGTAATTAAGCAATGACTCCTGCCGGGCATTACACCTAAAACACCTGTTGCCATGACAGCCTGCTCGCGTATGTTTACTTAATCACTTATTACGCATTTATTTAATAGTGCATAATATAGTGCATAGTGCAAAAGTGCATTATATCTTGTTCTTAACAAAAAAACCCGTCGTTGCCTAAACCAAATAGATTATCTAAGTATATAGCTACCTAGCTACATGTATAGCGTTAGTACTGTTATTTATCCTAGATGGCTCTGCAGCAACGCTGCTTGTTGACTGCCATATTTTCTTGTGTATGACTAATTACTTGTAAATCAATATACCCAGTAGGTTATAACGATGGCCGTATCACCTAAACCACACCTATATTTTTTAGACTAGCCGCCCCCGTCTGGCTCTTCGTTTAATGACACCCCTGTGGAAGACGTGCGCATGCATGCTGAGCTTTGATGAATGACTTGTACTCTTCACACGTGTGTAACCTTTGTTGGTGTCTGTGCGCTACTCTGTATTGTCGTGTTTTTTTTGTAATATCGGCTCCTGCTGTCTTACTTCTATAGAGAGATATCATGGCCGTCATGCAATTTGTGTATCGTATTAATCGCCAATAGTTGAAGTTACTTTTTTATCGAGTACTGCCATAGAAATATGAATCCATGATAGGTAGTATAAGACATTTTTCTGAGTGCTGCTAGCTAACTTATTACCTGCATGTCGTGCCCGCCACTATATAATTATATATACGTAAATATATATATGTATATATATGTTTATATATGACTGATGACAAAATGTGTTTAAAACACAGACATGTCTGCGCGTATGTGTGGGGGTGTGTGTAGGTGTGGATGCGCACACGCGCGTGTGTGTTTCTGTTGCATGCATGCATGCGTGCGTGCGTGCGTGGGTGCGTGCGTGAGCGTGTTTTTGTCGAGCTCCCTTACATTTACGCTAATTAGCCGAGCCTGTGCATAACTGCCGCTGTCTTGCCTGCCACAGTGTACAAAGACGTGTGGCGTGCCAGGCCTACAGAGCAGGATACTGCAGTGCGTGTGGTATGGAACTAAGAAGCCCGCTGGTGAAGAATGTAGTAACAAGCCACGCCCATCTGTCGTTAAAATTTGCCAGACTCCGTCGTGTTTACCAGAGAGTGAGTAAAATGAGAATTTTTTTCAAATTATATTATTCGCGAGTTACAATTGCTCTGACTGCTGCTAGAGTCAGGCCAATGTCGTAAAAGATATTAATGTTATTTGAAGAAATCATTATTATCGTCGTAGCGTCTAATGAGACCACGCACTCGCTAAACACACGTAGTCTCTGACACAGGCTTTGAAATGCTATAAGAAATAGTGCGCACAGGAAGTGCATTCGTAATCGCATCAGAGCGAAATCAGCGTCCGTCTGCTGAATTCTCTGCTTGTGAAACTTGTACGTGACTCGTCTGTTTCAGTGGCAAACTGCTACGACCACTCTCGCTACTGCAGTCTCGCCAAGCGGCTGAACATGTGCCGACTGTCCACCTACCAGATCCGCTGCTGCAAGACCTGCACATCGTAACTGCTGCCGCTTAACTCCGGTGCAGAAGCTTCTCCGTTCTCTCGCTGAGCGGCGCTGCGGACACACCCCGTGGACAGCGAGGGCGCCACCTGCTAGCGGGCCGCATGAATGTCACGTGGCATTTAGTTGTCGGCTCAACAGCGGAGTCGCGCGCTTTGGTCAGCGTCGTCCGTAGCTTCGGTGGAGAGAATTTTAGTCGGCCGTAAATACTCAATTGTGTTAGCATGTGTATATAATAAGCATAGCGATAGCGTGCGTCGGATGTCCACCTCAAATGGATCCAAGTGCGCATGTGAATGCAGGAGGCCAAGCAATAAATATATAGTGAGAATTTGTAGGAATTTATGTCGTTGCACAGTTAGATCTACGTTCAAGTTGCACTGCCGACATTTACTCAATTAAGCATACAGTATGTATTACTATATGTGTGACAGGCAGTCGCAATAACCAAGTTAAGAGTCGGTTCAGGGTTTAGTCGTGCCGTGCAGGCGTTTTGACAAGTACGACCTCGCGTGGGGTGCTTTGTTGGGCAATAATGATATCACTGTTTTAAAAGACAAAACGTCTGTATATGTGCTGGGCTAATTATTCTGCGCGATTTGGTAGAGAAAAACGAGCAGTGAAAGCATGTTGAATGGTTTTCATAAACATTCCACTTGGGGAGAGTACGTACGTACGTGCGCCACGAACAGACTGTTGATATTGAAAATAAAATGACTACTGCTAGAAGTAGAAGAAACCTACGCAACGGCGGGACGGGAGAGTCACGAGCGGTCAACGGGGTCTGTACCATTCGCACCACATGCGTTTTAGAATAAATAATGTTGCCAGATATAGTTTGTAATGTAAAGTTCGTGTTGCGCGACACACTAGACTAGCGTCGCGTGTTAGTGCAGGTATTGTGGTGCGTTCCATATATACATGTTATATATCCATTCTAAAATAATTTGTGTTGCCTCGCGTCATCCAGAACGAGTAACCTGGAGTGTTAGCCCGTATTGCGTTATTGGCAACACATGCATTACCGCAGAACACGTATAGTAACGAAATGTTTGATCCGAACTGACACCGAGGCTTTATAGTACATTCGTGAAAAGTGGTTGTAGGAAAATAAGACGGGAATAGCGAGATAACGACCTATACTGGATCTGATATTACCGAGCGATCTTAGCTAGGCTGCACATTGCATGATCAGTAAGTTGAGTTAAGGGTGTGCTGGTGTTGGATAGACGCATAAGCCTTTCTGATGGCGTTGCAGCATCTTTGACGGTATTGCGCCTATATATGTATGTCAGTTGTACAACATTTGCAACACGCGGAGATACAGCGCTGTAAGAACGAGACTAGGCAAGCGAAACGCTTCATAGATGCGCTATTAAAAGCATGCTATGGCAAATGAGCACCTATGGCAAACAAGCACCTCTGGGTGTTTGTGTGATTATTGTAAAATATTTATTTTAGTCTTTTTTAAGTGAGGTCTACAAGCGAGAGTAACGCACTTGTATTTTTTCGTTCTCGATTGCACATGACCATGCAATCATGATACTCATCTGCTTTGGGTGCAATGACGTATAGCTGCTTGGTAATGACCACAAGGATGTCTGGCTGTCGCGCGGTAATCATATCCGCGACAATTGGTCGCTGAAACAGCTCTCCAGTAGCAAGAGCAATAATTTCAAAGAAATATCATTTTAGTTACAGCTTGTCAATAAATAAGTTCGCAGCGTTTGTCCACTCGGCGCGTTTACGATAGATGTGGATATAGCGAAAGTGAAGGAGATAGCGGGATACGTGTGGTCCGTAAGATTCTATTTCGGCCAACACACGTGAACGACGTACGGCCGAGGCTCAGATAACGTGAGCTGAAATCGATACTCACCTTGTATCTCTATTAAGATACAAAGAAAATTTTCCCCTTTCCTTCGGTGTTCTTCCTTTTTCCTCTTCCTCTTCCTCTTTCTCTCTCTCTCGCTCTCTCTCTCTCTCTCTCGTCGCTCTCTCTCTCTCTCTCCTCTCTCTCTCTCTCTCTCTCTCTCTCTCTCTCTCTGTCTCTTTCAACTCTTTTTGTCGGTCTATGTTTTCTCTGTCTGCCTGCCGCGTCTCTCTCTGAATATAATTTTCAATGTTTATGAAAAGAATTTGTAATTTGGGCTTGTATGGAAATACATTCTAAAGGCATTGAGACGTCGGTTGAAAGGGATGTTAACATTGTGTGTTGTTGACATTTACGAGTGACCACGAGTGAAAATCATTGTGCTGTAAAGGTTGATGGTTGTAAAGGATCATGATGAGTATTCAGTTTCGATTATATATTAAAAGCGGCAGTTAAAGGCTTGTCATTGTATTATATTCAGTGCGCATGTTGTTCAAATCATTCGTCGCGAAATCTATATCGAATCGCACATTACGAAATGTAATCTGCAAACACTTCTATATGCTTGTTTAAAAGTAGTGCCCATGCAGATTACGCCTGCAAGTTTCAGTGGGCAGTGTTGACTTCTGTACATACAGAATATTTTATGTAGGTTTTTAAAGTAAAGTTATATTTATTGCGATAGATCTCATAAACAACAATATACGTGTTCGACGATAATTGCTGACTTGCAGCTCTACTATTTGCGTTACTATACGTTTACATTTATGCTTGATGTTAGCCGATTTAGATTGTAACACATGCCAACCGTCAACGCTAGCTGTACTTTGGTATAGTGTTTATGTATTAGTTCAGCGAGGAATATTTTCTCAGTGAGAATATTTCGACTATGTTAGCAGCGTATAGGCCTACGATATATACATACACCGAAAATAATTGAATTCATTGTTTCGACGCGTAACATCCTCGCGCAAGCTGTGAAAACGGCCCATATATACCTTGTCGACTGTTCGTATTTAACAGGCTATATAGTTATTTTATTTTATGAGTCAAATTGAGAATTTATGTCTGCTGCAGATTTTTGTTGTTGGATCTATCTACACATTTAACGTGCAGCATGATATATGAGACCAACTGTGTTTGTATTTGTGCCGTTTGTGTACTCAAATGTGATACACAAAAACTATATCCCAACAATTTGACAAACCATAAATTTTCAAATTTGTTTTGCAATTTGGTGGTCACAAATTTGGCAGCATAATGTTGGAAATAAAGATCTAGACAGTTTACCTGTTTTGTTTATGATTTATTGTCGTTGCTCTACTGTTATAGATGTCGATGCATTCTATTAAGCAAGTATAATCATTTTTATAAGCACAATTTTGAAACAATCATTTAATTGAAGCACGGCGTTGCATACGGTACAGCGGCAACAATTATATATTAATGCCTGCTGTTGGGGGCACTATGCTCTCATAGTGTTGCTGAGGGAAGGGCACTATTCCTTCCCAAAGCAACACTATGAGAGCATAGTGCCCCCAACAGCAGGCATTAATGTTTTTAGTGCATCACATGACTATGCAATCTACTTTTCATGCGTATATACCTTCTTTATACTCCCTAATTTGCCGGTGCATTCGATGTAACAAAACGTTCGACACAAACACAACCGCCGTTCGAAATTACTCTTGTGTGGCGCCCAGACGCAGGAGATTCGTGACGTAAACACAATGCGTTATAATAACAATGCGTCGCGCAAGCGATAGTGCCCGCTCAGGCGGGCATTATCGCTTCATAGTGCCTGCTGCGTTATCCAATGAGATTGCAGCGATTTATCACGTCATGCACTAATGTGTTATAGTTATGTGTGCGAGTATTATATGGATGTACAAATGTATTAATATCAGTAGTACTTTAACATAATATTTCTTATACATGTTATATTTGAAGCCATTATCATTATTGAAGATAGGTGACAATATTATAGGCAAATATAAACTTAGGAAATAAAATTAGGAAAACGGAAAGAATTATTTGCCTCTGATGGTGAATACTTCATTTGTTTGCTCAATTTTTAGCTCACCTTGACATCGTCAAGCTGAGCTATTGCCATGGGGTGTCGTCCGTCGTCCGTCCGTCAGTCCGTCCGTCCGTCCGTCCGTACGTCCGTCCGTCCGTCCGTCCGTCCGTCCGTCCGTACGTCCGTCCGTCAACATTTGGCTACGGTCAACGATAACTCGAGAACTCTTTTTTTTTAGTTATGCAAATTAGGTAGATTTTAGCAATTTCACTATGCATTTCAGTGTCTGCCTACGGTCAACGATAACTCAAGAAACTTTTGACTCACAAGTTTCAAATTGCATACATTTGTTACTCCTATGGGAGACGTTTGAACGTCTTATGTTGGAGCACGCCAGTCGACCTACTTTCGAGCCACGTCCACTTTTTTTAGCAAAAAATGGAAATGGCCATAAGTCAGTTCAGGTTAAACGGATTTTGCTCATTTCTGGTATGTGAATGAATGAGGACTCGTACAAAAACATATCACATGGATTTTGATTTTATTTTTAATTATGCAAATTTGGTAGATTTTAGCAATTATACTATGCATTTCAGTGTCTGCCTACGGTCAACGATAACTCAAGAACCGTTTGACCCACCTGTTTCAAATTGCATACAGTTGTTACTCATATGGGAGAGATTTTAACGTCCTATTTTGGAGCACGCCAGTCGACCTACTTTCGAGCCACGCCAACTTTTTGGCAAAAATGTAAATGGTTATCCAGATTCATTCAATTTTGTTAAATTTTGGTATATTAATGTGTAAGGCTAGCCCCAAAACAGTTGTTACTCCTATGGGAGAGATGACAACGTCCTATTACGTTTATTTCGTCTAACTGGTCAACAACTCTACAATCATACCTATATACGTGTAATATTGTGTTTTAGATTCTTTGTTACAGTAATTTGACTGGAATATTTTATTGTTTTTATTTGCGCGATATTTGAAAACCAAAATGGCGATCATTTAAGCGTAGCGTCATTTCTCGTCAAGATTTCGGACTTTCAGATCTGAAACATTCATTTTCGCATTAAAACTTGTGCATATATCATTATCAAGAGTATATAATGGGAGTTCTCCCATATATACTCTTGCTTTATATATCTGCCCTCCCTCTTCTATCACACCCAAGGTGAGCTACAGTGTCATTGACACTTTCATTCCTAATGTTGCTCTTAATTCACGTTTAAAAAGGGGTGAATCATCATAACCATACGCCCTATTTTTGCGATGAATGTATCATACTGTGATCATTCTGTGATTTCCCATAAAGCTGGGTTTACACTACCAACTTCGCAATTTCGCAACTGACAATCGGCAGTGTAAAAGCAAAAAATGCACGTCCAACCGATCGATAGCAACTATAGTTGGGAGATTAGAACATGTTCTAACAATTTCGCGAACTCGGAGTTGGCGAGTTGGACGTTTTTTGTCAATGTGATATAGTACGTGGTTCAGAACGAGGTGAGACGGAACTAGAGAGAGAAAAGCGGTGCAACGAAAGCTTCACTGTGAGATTTTATGCGAGATATCAACCTGGTATCTGTGTGTTGGATTTAGTAAAGCGTGGTGTATGCATGAATAATGCTTGTATCGCTGTGAGTACATATAAGACAGTGAGGGAGAGGGAAGGAGAGCGAGCGAGAAAGAAAGAGAGAGAGAGCGCGAAAGAGAGAGAGAGAGAGAGAGAGAGAGAGAGAAAGAGAGAGGGCGCGCGAGAGAGAGTGAGATATATATATAGAAATAGAGTGAGCGAGCGAGCGAGAGAGAGAGAGAGAGAGAGAGAGAGAGAGAGAGAGAGAGAGAGAGAGAGAG